AGGTGGACACCAAAACATTTTTTGACAGCAATTTTCTTTCCCTGTTTCAGACTCTCATCCAAAGCATGGTTACTTTGGCAGGCTACACAGAGGGCAGTGAAACCATAAGGAGCCACTGTCCGATCCTTACCTCTGCAGGACAGTACACCAAATGCAACCTTTTCAATCGCCGCTGTTTTGATCTAAACTGTTTTGCCAAACTAGAAACTCTTATTTATTTATTTATTTATTTTCTATTCTTGTGTTGCTGTCAGGACCTGGAGGGGCTCAGGAGACAAACTTTTCCCAAGAGCTTTTGAGGTTGTTGTCTTACCTGCTTTTTAACTACATGAAGACAAAAGAGGGTGAGGATTGCTGGGAGGGAGAAGGGAAAAATGACTTGTGCTGTTCAAGAACTTGCCTTCAAAAGACTGAAAGAATGGCACAAGGAATAATGAGACCCTGCCTTTATGCTGCTGGCTCAGATCTGAGGTGACTGAAGGTTCCTAACTGCTTTGTTATTACCCTTGTTTATTACTGCAATGTCTAAGGACTAATCACAATGGACAAGCATTTAGTAATTACTATACAAACAGGGAGCTGTAGACAGTCCTTAGCCTAAAGAAATTACAATTTAAACAGACATGCCAAACATGACAGACCAGGATGTTACCAGTGATGTTGAAAAGCACACGCAATTGTGGCAGTGTAATTAATACTTATATTACAATAATACAACAATGCCCAGTTACACCTTCCTGGATCAAAGTTCAGATTTTTGAAAAGGGTGCACTGAGGAAGCTCACTTGAGAGCTGATACGCTCTTCACTGATAGTTTCCATTTCCGTTGCAACATCCTGTAGAAACTAAATGCTAAGTCTTCTGCCACTTAAGTTAATACTGTGTTTTCCATTTAAAAGCTCAAAGCAAAAATAACCTAAGTTGTTATGAGGACTTTTCTTGGGTAGGCTTCAAGGCAGTTAAATCAAAGGTATGTAAGTCTCACTATATTCCTACTGTGGAGCAGGGCAAGCAGGAAGAAGATGGAATTTAAGGCATGAGAGGTGGGACAAGAGCTAATTACAGATACACAGTAAATCAAATAGTTTGATAGGACAGAATTCAGGGTCTGTCCCATCAGCTTGAGCAAGACAGATCAATAGACTGCCTATTGTCAGGAATATCATGTTCACAGGTACGTTGGGACAGAACAGGAAGTTAAATATAAATTTGAGTATTTTCTGCACTAATAATCCCCTGATCTCTGGGTTCATGATGTTCTCCCTTTGAAGTGTTGAAGTACAGGCAGCAATTTAGGATAGAGAAGACAGTGCAGAAGTTACTTATGTGAGAGCAAGTAGTGGATTTCAATTCCAGGGAGGCTTATGGCACTTTTCCTGGCATCATATCCAAATCTTAATCCTCTATTAAAGTCAAATTTTAGTCATTAAGTCTGCTATGTGTTAATAGATGATGCTGTAATGTGTATACAAGGTGTATTTCCCCTTAAAATGCAATACAAGAACCCCATGTCTCAGTTAATGTGAGAATTTGATCTCACAGGAGAATTGAAGGGCAAATTGGCTAAAACCTAAAACAAGTAAATAAAGTTCTTTAGGGAATCATATCTGGCAGTTTACTAAGGAAATTCAGAAGTATAAATATTTACAATAGGAGGTACACAGATTTCTCATAATATTATAACTGATTCCAATTTGGAATACATGCTGTTTTGCTTAAGTTTATTCCATTTGCTTTTGAAATCTGACCCATACTCCACTTATAAACTTCATTATTTGCCCATTTTTTCTATGCCTATCCCTGCTCTGTTATCGTTCTGGGGTTTGTCTGTTATTGGAAATTCCATGGGCTTTCAAACTTTTACCAAAGGATCGCTTTGGTAAAAAGGTCTGAATAAAAAAGCAGAATCCTAAGTTAATGTTTACAAAATAGATTTGTGCTATGTATGTATTTTTAAATATTGTATGCATTTCTAAATGTATGCGTGTAAGATTGCTATTATTTAATTGCGACACTGAGAAACTTGGAGGTCCTGGTGAAAACCATGGAGAAAAGCCTCATTTGTAGAGTTTACAATCTGAATAGTCAAAATAGGCATGGTGTGGAAGAATGTATACTTTTATTCCTTTTTACCTCCTTCCTTTTGTATTTGTGTTCCTTTTGCCCAAAAGGAACTTGCAAAGTAAACAACACAGTGAGTTTTATACCCATCAATAAGAAATGAAAAAAAAAAGCCATCTTGTAATAGGCAGGACCCTAAGAATGAAGCCGTTGTCCACACAGCATGACACATCTGCACTGGGAGCTTGTGATAGCATTAGTGCACCAGGGCCCCTCTACCCATGGAAGCAAGATCATAACTAAAACAAACAGTAAGGCTCTAACTAGGGCTCAGCAGACCTCAGACTATGCAGAGATTCCCAACAGCTTCTAAGTGTGCAGATGCTCTCTGGGCCTTCTCTGCATATACCTCATTCAAAAGTGTTTATTCAGTGTCTTCAGCTCTCACGTAGTCAGGCTCCTATCAAGTTTACTGCTTGCCATTTCCAAAGCAGAAGCAGACTTAAATTATTTGAAACACATTCATGTCAGCTCAAAGGGAGTTAACTCTAAGTTTGAAGCACAGATATATCAGGATGCAGAAGAAAATAGTTCTGATGTAATCCAAAATATTTTGCTCCCCTTTACAAGGCAGAATTACAAGTTAGCAATTCACACACTCAGAGCTTGGTTCTTTCACTGGAGGATTCTCCTGAATCAAGTGGAGATATTAGTGTCTGGCCATAGGAGAGAAGGGGAGTCACCACATAAGATAGAAGAAAACTCGCAAAAAGGAGAAGCCTGAGGCATTCTGCTGTCTAATGAGGGACACACTGTGACATTCATCCTTGGTTCACTGGAAGCTGGAAACTGATGGCACAGGTTCAGGTCCCCCAAACTACCATCACTATTGGTAACACCTGGAGTGATAATGTGGTGTATTAATCTTACATGGGAGGCAACAGATTAAACAGATACATGGTAGGCAGTACACTCACAGCAGAGTGAAGTAATTTCTAGAGCTTGCTCCTTTTCTAAAGAGACAGTACTGTAGAATGTTTGTAATCTCTGTGATAAAATGAACCCCAGAGACAAGAAAACTGTTGAACAAAGCCTCTTTTTACCAGCTTCCCAGAGAAATATCCAATGCCAGGCACAGGTGTAAGTATATTCTAGGGTCAAAGTTGCATCAGCCATACCCAGTCTAATGTGCATAAGCTTAATACAGCTACCCAAGAGATGTATGGACAACTAGGCCTTGACAGCTCAGCCCTCAGAGATTTGAATCAAGCCTAAATCTGAACTCCAAACATATAATTTAAAGTAGCAACAGTTAAACTAGGCATTAAGAAATCAGAAATGTATCCTTGTCCTGGCTTCATCTTATTTGGAAGTAATGTAACTGTTTTATTGGACAGGTTCCTAGACTGTTGCCAAGGGATTTAAATAAGATCTTGTTAGCCACCGAAGTCTCAGGGGTCCAGGAATATAAGCAGAATCTTGTGATTTTCTTTTAGATAGGGAGCTACTTGGCTCTCAGAAACCTATCCTTCAGGCCAGGCAGCTCCTGCTCCTTTGGGATTATTTGAAAAATGGCTTGTAGAGAAAAGCACAGCCATGCAACAGAATCCCAAGGATTTACTCTTTTGGGGCTGCATTATGATCAGGAGTCAAGTAGCTCTAAGGTGTGAATTTTAGGTTTAGAGCAGAGAACTGACAGTCCATCTTACAGCTCTCCTGGGGTGGGGAACGGCACGCATGATACATACTGCTTTATGTGCAAAGCAGCTCCCACTACAGTAGGTTCTTCATCTGTGGCTGCAGCCAGAAGTCGCTATGGCAGTAGTGATGGCAGCTAATGTAACAGTCTTACTCAGTAAGTGATATTCTTTGCCACTGTCTCTAGTGAGCCATATTCAACTGGCTTAATAAATCTTGTTTGAGAGCATTCACAGGACTTCAGGGTGTACGTGGGTGTAGGACACAACACATTGCTCCCATCCTGTTTCCAACATCCTGCTGTGTTCCTGCAAAAATAATTCATGGACTGTGTTCCCTGCTTCACAGCAGCAAGGTTAGGAATGACTGCTCCTGTGGCAAGAGAAATCTATTGTATAGTCATACCACTGAGCTGCAGGTTAAATCTACAGAAACCTGCATATGACAGGAAAATGGAAACTAATATTAGAGAGTCATGAACACACAAACAATGGTTTTGAGAGGAAGCGAAATATATCCAGGTCTTAAAACTCCCCTTGGGAGCCAAACTGGAACATGGCTTCGAATTTTCTATCTGACATGCAACTTCAAGCTGAGCCAAAACCAGTATAGACCTTTGTGTTCTAGGTCATGTTTTGTGTATTCCATACACAGAATATAACAGGGGGAACAAACTGGTTGTCTCTGCCCACTGGGAATCCCCAGCTATTGGAGATTTTTCCTTTGGACAGTTTTAACTTGTGCCAATGGGTGGCCCAAGACTGGAGGAACCCAAGAACAGGGGAGCTGTTTAAATGGGTGGTTTAAAACTAACTATAGCTGTGTGTACAAGACCCCTTTGGACTTCTGCCAGGTACAGCTCAGCAAATCTGGAGACTGTGGGCCAAGCTGTACAATGCAGGCCTGTGGTGGTTTAAGACCTGAGGCACATTAATACTGTGAGGTTCAAAGGGATGCAGGGAAAAAAAAAGCACACAACGCACAAAGCAGCATCTTTCTGTAGCTGCGAGTTCTAGACCCAAGAGTTACTGCCTTGACTGAGGGAATAACCTGGAGGCATAATCAGCTCTGATCTGTTTGTTTTCATCTCCTCCTGGGATCCATTATATGATATTAACAAAATAAATCAATTTTAAATAACTCATTGTGTAAGCTTACAACAGAGTGGTTGTTTCTGGCATACCTCAGGGACATTGCACAGGACATTGCACACCATTATGAATGAATGAATGGGCCTTAGCTGTAGTGCAGTAATTTGTTTTAATAAAGTCTGAATATACACTGAGGTAATATTTGTGCAATCCCTAAGAGTGTTCTTAGGGCAGAAATTCACATATTAAGAGAACTGTGTTTATTTACATTTCAAGAGCAGTTATGGACAGAAAAGAGGCTCTAAAAAGGCACGAGGAGGGTCATATTTACTCTTTCCCTGTGGTTTTAGTTCAGACTTGCCTGGTGCACAAGTCAAAGATGTTTTCTTTTAAATGACAGTTACAGAAACTTCACATGGGATTTGAAAGCCATCTGCTTTTTATCCCCCTACACACAACAGACTGCCTGCAACTATATTTAACTGAAGAGCTGGCAGCGAGGAGAGACTCCAGATGCCCAGAATCTTCTTAGTCCTTTACAAGCATCAGTCCTCCTCTTAGAAAAGGAACACTTTGGTTGGTGGTAAGTGAAATCCATATACGCAGTAGCAGGACTACAGAAAAAGGACTGTTCTCAGGGCGGGAGTGGCTTTTTGGTCTGTTTTCTAATGGTAATTCGTTCTCCCGTTAAAAATGTCAGGAAGGGAACATTATACTTGGTCTTCAGGAAAGCCTTCCTGCGGAAAGTTGGATAGAGACATGTTGGTGCCTTTAAGTAAGGTTAAAACCTGAATATTGCATGTATGACATTTTGTATTCTCCACAACTATACTGGGACTGTATCTTGGATCAGTCCAGTACTAAACTGTTCTGAAGGCACTTCCTATGTTAACTTGCTTCTGCAGATGCTACCTGTTTCTTTCAAATTTATGACAGCTCCTTGGAAAGTTTAGTTCTGATTCCAAAATCAACTGTTTTTAAAAGGACAGAAGAAATCTCATTAACAGCATAACACACAAAAATAAAATGCCAAGGCTTGAAGGTCCAAATTCTCTGTTGGTAGCCAAGTATTCACTGCCATCTGACAGAGGCTAACCTGTGTTTGATTCTGGAGAGACATCTTTGTTGGTCACACAGTGTTTCAAATAAAAAAAAAATTAATTAAAGGCTTTTCTGCAGTATATGTATGTTTTTTGTATGGAACTGTTTTTTTGTAAGGACAACTTCTTTCTCTTCCCCAGGCTACCTCCTTACTAGAATACATGTTTCTTGATATAGGGATTAGATACATTTATTATTGGGGCAGTTCACTACATCATAAAGGTAGGTCTGCTGCTCCTGGATTGCTGCTTCAGCAGCAGTGGAGCTCGTGAGAGTGCTGCAAAAGCATGATGCTGAAGATAAGGTTGGTATGGAATTTCCAGGCTCAGCACTGAGATCAGTTGTAGCTGTCTCTCTCTTTCCAAACAACAATATCCCTTCTGGGCAGCAGTTACTGATGTTTGGCTTTGACCCTGAAGCAAATCTTTGCAAGCTTTGGAAAGTTTGAATGCAATCATTTGGCTGCCTTGCAGTTATCGCAAGTGAACAAAAATGTTTTTCATCTGTTAGGAACTTCGTTTAGCTCAAGGCAGCTGAAACTTCATTCCAACACTTCACAAGCCTTTATGCTTTTCCCTTTAGTGTTTTGTCAGATTCAGGGTGTAGACTCTCTACAGAAACTGCTTAACGAAGGGAATAAAACCCAAATGCCCAATACTGCTGCAGAACTCAATTTCATCGGGAGTGACAGCCCCATGTTTCATCTGTCCCCAAGACGTTCTGTTAAAACCAACTACCAATAAAAGTTCTTCTTGAGGGAGGAATATAAGTAATATGAGTTAAACCCTTTGCTGTGTATCACTTAGAGGCCAAGGGAAATTGTTCATTTTATACGTGTAACAGAAGTTCCACGGCAATCTACATGACAATCCCCATGATACAGCAGAGTTTCATTTGTCAACCCACATTGACAGGAAGGTAGAGGTCAAAAGAGGGATCTTTTAAAAAAATATTCACTACATAAAGAAGGATATAAACCATGCTCCCTCCTTACAAATAGAACTTTGGCAATCATTGCAAAGTTATCACAAAACCCCAGTTTACACTAAACATTCTTTACTGGATAAAAGTAACAAAGTCATAATAGGAAATCTTATCACAAAACTGTGAGCCTGATTTACACAAAGAACCTTGTGTTTGCAACCTAATTTAGGAGCATTTTTATGTGCTTATACACAAGCATGATCACGGGCATGAAGCGCATTTCTGAATTGGAATCAGGTCGCTCTTAATATTTCCTGATGTTTTAGGAGGTAGCATTGTAGGAGTTACATTATAAAAGTGAAAATTAATAGCTTTTGAATATTTCTCAACTGCTTTTCATTTCCTTACATCTGTGCATGGACAAAACCACAGTATTTCCATTAAGTAGATTAGCATTCAAAGTCCTGTTTTGAAGTTAGGATGAAAAAGAGCTGATTCTTCTGTTACTCCTGAAACTTGTCACTAAATTTGCTTCTGTAGAGCCAGGGAAACAATCATTTTCATGAGAGGCAACATCATCAAAATTGCCAGAGGGAGCCCCTGAAACCAAATTCTAACATATCCCAGTTATTTTCTTCCAAGAGCCAGTCCAATGCCCATGACAGCGATATGCACATTGTCACTCACTTATGTCTTAGACTGCATGTTCTTTAAAATTGCAGTCTGCTCTGAGCTGCCCTCATTAAAGGTCCTCTAAAGGATAATGTGTGGCTGTATCCCAAGGCAGCTGCCTGGTAATGTGGGGAGGAAGTACTTAAAAACATATTTAGAAGTACAGCTATAGCTCAGATATATTTCTTCTAATGAAGAAGATGACAGCAATAGTCACCAGTGCCAGTCCAAAGGGGATAGTGCTAATTGACAGAGCCTTTAAGTAAGCTTTATTCAAAATGGTATACATAAGGTCCTATTAAAATAGCAGGTCTGCATATGAGAACTATGATAATTGAAAAATTCCTCCCTTTGATACAAATGCTTTAACACAACATTATTGTTGTCAGGTATTCTTTTACAGTAGTAAATTCAGGCTGGACTTGACTTAATGACGTATCTCTTCTCTTAAGTAAGTTAAGGAGCATGCACAATAACAATCTTCAGCTGTTTTTCACGAAACTCAAGTGATGCTTGGTAGTGTGGCATTAGTAAATCAGTGCTAAGAGCCTGAGCCAAAGATTCCTGAAGTAAATGGAGCCTTTTTGTCTGACTTCAAGGGACAAATGAGCTACCATATACTGAAGATATTTTGTTATTCTTACAGCCTTAAGATATAAAGAGCTGTCTATGATCTGCATAAGCACTTTCAGAATGCTTTTCCAGGAAGAAGTGTAAATCCAGAAGAGTACAAAGAGCAACTGGGAACTAGGAAAAGATAAATTAACACCTTTAGCAGCTCTTTGTGTGTGAAGGAAAAACACTGTTTCATCCACTGATGACAGGAAGTGTAGCTATATCCGCTTCATCCAGTGTTGGTACGAAGTACAGATACATCAGACTGTACTCTGAGCCAAACTGGTTTGACAGAGAATCTGTCTTTTCCCCTCTTCTAAAACTACATATAAATCTAACCTGCTTCACTGAAAAAACAGAGGAGGAGTGACAGAATGCGTGACTCACTTTAATCATAGAATCATATAAAGACATTCTAATGTATTTTGTACTTTCTGTGCTAAATCACAAGCCTCAGAGTGGATTCTTTTGGGGGGCAGGCTAAAACTGGTTTTGTCATTTATTTGTTGTTGGCTTTCACAGTCTGCTCTGGTCTGGAGAGATTCGACATTGAGATTCTCCAGCCTAGTTTTCACAGACCATGCGTTCTTGTAAACAGTTCCCAGGACAGAATATTGTAGTCCAATGCCATTTATTAAATGGCAGTGCACTAGTGTTTTCCTATCTTTTCTTCCTCCCTTGCTGCCTTTTGTTGAACCATATTTCATTTGGCAATAAGCAGGAAATGAATCACTGTCAGCACTTGAACCATCAGGTACTAATCAGGTCCTAGCAATATCCAGTAATTAAAATGCTACAGGTCAGCTTAAACTACAGAATTCTCACCTGGATTCAAAATTTCACCAGTGTTTTGGCTCACAGGAACTGGAGAGTTTCTCTAAGCTCAACTTGATTCCCAAAACACAAAACGGCATTGGATTTGATTACAATACTTCATGTAGCTGGTGGTTGTTTCTGTGTTAGACAATGAAATGTAAGAAGTTTGCTGGCTGCAGGGACCAGAAGCCACATGCACACAAGCCCCGGTGCAAAGTATCAGTCAAATGTTGTGCTTGGTATTATACAGAGAATACTTTTGTTCTCTCTCATTTCGTCTTCTCCCTAAATAAGTTCAAAGACAATACCAACAAAAGATACCTATGGAGACTTAAGGAGATGAGGGTGATAATGTACAAAAGCAAAACACAGTGACAATGTGCCCCTACAAAGCAAATAAACAGTGAAGAGTTCTGGTTAAAGAAATACTAAAGATTTCTAGTTTGATAGTAAATCAATAATCTAGTGCTCTAGAGACAGTGGTTTGTGTATAAAATACCTGTTGCTGTAGGGTTCTGGTTCTGTCTAGGGGCTCTGTATTTCTGAGGGAAATAGTAATAGCAATATTAACAACAATAATAATAGTCCAAAGCCCCTGCCATTAGCTTAACTGAGGCATCCATGCATAATACTACAGTACAGTCAGGATATCACAGAACCAAAATATTAATGTTGGAATGCTGGAGAAGAAAGGACAAAGAACACAGGATGAGCAAAGAGTCTGTGTTAGGAAACACTACTCTGAATACACAAACTTTGGGAGAGGAAATAAAATCTCCCCCAAACCCTGCTTATCTGTAGAAAAGCAACAAAATAAACTGATACGGTTTTCCCCTGTGAAGAGTCCGAGGTGCTGCATCAGCTCTCTCCTGCTCTTTTTGCAAGAACTGTTTTCACACCACGTGTGACTGGACTGTTGACTGCTCTGTTTCCTCATATGCAAGTTTACACATCTAGCCACCCTGCTGTTATGAGGCGGGGTATAGTTTGCAACAGCCACTGCTAAAATAACTGCTGTCTCACTTGTGATGTTCTCACAGAATATTTCTCGGTGGTAACGTATGGGAAGGGATAGAAAATGTCCAGCTGGGTTTTCAGAGCAATCAGCATTTGCCTCATTAATTTGCCTATCTGGATTTGGAAGAGTGAAATTAATGGAGCTCTTAAAATCTGGCCTAAAGCTCAACCGAATCCTTCGGACAAAGTCACTGAACAAAGAAATTCAAGGATAAATTATCAAAGTCTGATAACTGTAAAAGCAGCTGCTGACAGTGACCTCAAACCACAGGCACCATAACCACCCAAAGCATGGGCTAATGAAAGCAATTCAGAAACCTCAAACCTATCAGCAAAACCGCTTTGTGAGGTAACCAGTCGTATCACAAGGGTATGCATGCTTTTCTATGGATTCGAGTGGGGAGCAGGGTTTATGCAAGTGACAGCAAATCAAAAGAAGAAACAGAAGGACCTGTAACTGGGAAAAAGTCTAGAAAAGCACCTTCCACCATACTGTCACTGAAATGCTGTGAACTGGATAAAAAAGAAACACCTTGATTCTTACTGTGTTTTGGGGGAATATGTTCCTTTATTTGCATATTTTGTAAA